CACACATTTCGTGTCTTGTTCTGCACATTTCGTGTCTTTCTCATTAAATCCAATATTTAAAGAAACATTTAAATTGTAACTCCTCCATGGCAAAAAATGTGCTCATGATTGACGAGTGTGATGACGACAGAAATCACCTTAAAGTATTGGTTGAACATGATTTATATAATATGAGCTTTACAAGTCTGTTTACCTTAGTTTGAAAATAACTATTGATACCAAGATTCACAGACTTGCCTTAAACATCAGAATCAGAATCAAGTTTATTGCCAGGTGCGTTTAGACATCCAAGGAATTTGCTTTGGTGTCTGGTGGTGCGAACATAATCTAAGATACATACTCGTCTTTACAGTAAAGAATACATTGAAGTTAGTCTATTTTATTAAATGTTCATGTTATACTAAGTCTGTTGCAAAACATTGTTAAACGCCTGGTATAGATTTCCAAAGTCAGTGGGACGAAAAGAAAGAAATACATTTAATATCACTGTTTTGGTGGGATTCGTAACCTAAATTGACTATTTTATTTTGACTAAAAAGAAAATATGCATCCTATCATTTAAAAAAGCTTTATTGGCATGACCATAATGACATACAGTATTGCCAAAGCTTTTTCCAATTACGACATATATACATGTACATATCATAGACTGGTACATATACATACATTTTGAACATGAACTACAAAATGTATTAAAAAAAACAGAACAAAAGAAAAAGTTAAGGTGAGTTTTGATTATTGTGCAGGATAATTATGAGAATACATTTATATAATACATCAATAAGACAATACTAATACAACCATGAACTGTGTATTTTTTCTTATTACAACAATATAACAATCCTATCTCAAATATGTATGTTTATTCAACTGATCAACGTTTTACCTTATTGTGATTAACAGTTACTTATATAATAGTATTTTTAATTGTATTATCCTGTGTGAACTCTTCTCTGTACTCTCCTGTATTTCCCTCTTACTCTGTTGTTGCTTTGACTCCTGAATTTAAGGGTATTAAAAAAGTTCCATGTTATGTTATCACAACATAAGCCACTGTTCATTTAACTCTGTAAAGTGCCTCCATAAACATGAATCTGTTTGCATCGTGCTACTTATTTCTCTATATATCATATTCCATGTATGTATAGACTCTTCTTGCACTATTTCTATTTTAGTTGTATTTACTTGCACATCTTACAACAATCTCTTGCACTATGTTATTTCTATTCTGTTATTTCTTGGTCTATTGTGTTGTATTTGTTTTATCTCCTATATATATTCATGTTGCATTGTTGGAGGAGCCTGGGACTTAAGTTTCTCATTGCCATATCTACACTGTAGTTTCTGTGCACATGACAATAAAGCCTTGAATGTTGATTGATGTTGACAGTATGGATATTGTTGACAGTATGGATGTTGTTGACAGTATGGATGTTGTTGACCACGCTTCTTCTGCAGGGGCGTGGCGGGACGTGAGTGGGCGTGGTGGGCTTTGTAACGTAGCTGCTGTTTCTTCCTCCGTTTCTTCTTCTCCACTATTGACTTGGAGGGAAGTGAACGTCGCAAAGAAAAGGACTAAATAGAAGAAAGAAGCAGACACAACAACATTACCCCCAAAAGCTGGTAATGCTAAAATCTTGATACATGTTTTGCACCTGTATTTTTTATATTTCGCTGTGTTTTTGTGAGTCAAATGCCAATGAGTGGCATGCAGCTCTGAGGGCCGATGCTAAGCTAATGTTAGCTTCCGTGGCCTGTTAGCAGCAGGCCGCTGGGGTTTAAGCGCAGGGACGCACGCGCATTCATCCGCGTTCTCCAAAATAGGGCCACGGTGCTTTACGTTAGCATACCGGCTAGACACAGCCACGACAAACATACACTTTACCTCCCATTAAGGCTATCTGTTTCCTATATATTTAGTACAATTATAACATTGTGTCGTGTTGTTGTCGAACCTGAGTGGACACATGTTTCTCAGAGGAGGGAGTGAGCGTGCAGCTGGTTAGCTTGCTAATGCTAATCAGGCCTCTGCACGTTTCCGAGTAGAAGACCCTTCAGCTGTAACAAATAATAAGAAATGCACGATCAAAAAGTGTTCCATGCATGCAGAAGACATCCGTAGGCCACGTGGTTTGTATTTGTAGTGTCAGTCGTTATTATGGCCAAAGCTGTGACGTTCACGTGAAGGAAATGTCGCCCGTTTGCAGCAATGGAGAAATATTATCCGGTTTTCTGACAGCTCCAGCTGCTGCCCATGCTCAGGTTACACAACGTCATGCTAGAGTAAGGTTGCTCATTGATAAAAAAAGCAGGTCAAGTTGTGAAACATTAGCTGATATTTCCACTATACTTAGCAGAATATTTGACATCCAAACCCTCATACTACATCTTCAACCTGACACGCCTCTTTCCCTGGATGTGAAACACAAATGCTTGCAAACCTATTTTCCATTTGGTCTGGCCAGTGACTTAATAAAATCAGTATGGTTGATTCCTTGGAGACCAATTATATTTACTTTTGTATTCTCCTTAAAATGAGCTCTAACTGTGCAGATCCAAACATGTCTGCTTTTCTCCACAATTATCAGAGTTTGTAAAGTCCCCATCCTTTATGTTCACCATGATCACAGTGTGGCAATGATTTACAGTCCTAACACTGGTCGAATGGAAACAGTAAATACAGAGGCGGGTGTACCCTGCTTTCGCAATGTGAGCGGACAGATCCAACACATTGTTTTGATACAGATACAAAAGTGTCTTCCATGGCATGTACACTTCGCAACACCCAGGAAACGATGTAAGCATGCAGTACTGTTACTCGTTTTAATTAATCAGTAAATCCCTCCCTCAAGAGTTGACAACCTTGTAGAACTTAATGTTGTGACTTTAAAACATCAACTTTGCTCACTTCCACGTTGATCGAGTTGTTTGATTTTGTCTTTAGCCTCTGGAGCAGTGAAGTGTCTTCATGGCAGTTCGTAGAGGACACATAAAGTACATGAAAGTGAGTATACACTGCAGTATGTGACATTAGGACTGGACAATATGACCAACACTGTTATCCCACTGTTTTTTTATATTGATCAATATACATTAGTATGATATTCGTTTTCAATAATCAGATCATTTAAGGTTTTAGGAGTATTTAGCTTAGGGAAAGAACAGTGAACGTTTCACATCCCACTGACACATGGACGTCCTGAAGGATGTTTCGACTGTCAACAGGGATCTCTTTAGTTTGCTGGAACTAATGATTGAAATGAGATAACATTAAGAGAAATGGCAGGCCAGCTGCCACCAGCTTTGCCCATGTTTACTGGTTTATTACAGGACTCTCATTCATCCTCCCGCCTGCTGTGTCTACCCCACCAGAATACACAATCGAAGCCCTTCTCTTGCATGAATGGACCTCTGTCAGGTTGACCGCTAGCTGGGCTTCCTTTTCAGGCCCGATTCCATTTCAGATCCAAGCAAATGTGCCCGCAGAACCGACAGCAGAAGCAACTTTTCAAAAGTATTATGAAGTCATGTTATCAGACTAGACGGCAGACTGACATGTGACTGAGATCATCTGGGGTTAAAAAGTAAGCTTTCAAATGTAAAACGTATGCACAGCATTCCCTTGTTTAAACTTCAAGGAGGCTTAGTGTTAACCGCAGACTTGCATCTGAGATCCTGTCACATGCCTTAGTAATATCATTAGTTCCCATTGTGTGGCCTTTAAAGCTTCAACCCTAGGTTTTCTCCTGCGTTAAAAACTGTAATTACACGGCATCCATGGTTTTCCACCGCAAAAATGGGTTGGACCAGTTGGTCACAGCGGGGAGATGCACACACTGCAGCTGTAAAGTACTGCTGACTTTATACTCTCTCCCTCTCAACCGCACTTGCTAGCGTTACACACACATCCTATGCACAGCGTATGCATTAAACAAGTCTGATAATTGTATAACACACACGTTTTTATAACACATCTAAAAAATGCATTTGAATCTGGAATACTCAGAAGAACCATGAGGATTTGGCAAATTAAACTAATGAAGGTTTTATAGAATAGTGTAGTGCAGGGGTCAATTGGTTGTGAGCAGCTTATGTCATGTACACAGACAGGAACATACAGGAAGAAAGCACAATAATAAGATGCGAAAGAACAAAAATAAATGTGTTTTTATTTCACCACCAACAAAGAATGCATGTATTACGATTGCTGCACGTCTCAGTTTAAAAGCAGGGTTCTGTGAAAGTTTGTCGACTTGTTTTACCATTGAGTAATTCCCAGCTACGGGTTTCAGCTCTAGTTCTGCGTACCCTGTGTACTTACCTCGTTCTGTTTTTGTTGCGCCCCACCTGGACGATCTGCAGGAGGCGTTTGACATGTCGAACGGTTACGAAGAGCACATGGGAGGGGACGAGGGGAAGGACTCCAAGACCAACCTGATCGTGAACTACCTGCCTCAGAGCATGTCGCAGGACGAGCTGCGGAGCCTCTTCAGCAGCATCGGAGAGGTGGAGTCCGCCAAGCTGATTCGAGACAAAGTCGCAGGTATGCTACTCTCTGAAGTGATAAGACCTGTGACAGAACAGAGGGACGCTTAACCTCAAGTTTTCAAAAAAAAAAATGGAAATAGATATGGTTACAACCTCTCAATATGGCAGTGGTGGTTCAGCGTTATCATATTGGCCCATGACTCAATTTATTGGCAGGATATCCACCAAACGCCTGATTTCTGACTCCTGGCTTTTTATTATGTAATATTTAATATTAAAAAAATCAAAACATTTATTTTCTGTTAGCGTTGGGAAGTAGTTTTCTCATTTATTTCCCCACCATAGGCTTGTTTTATTTATTCCAACCAGTCCTGTAGACAGTCTCTTTGTTTGTTTCAACTACCATGCAATGTTAAGATTTGTTTTTGTTTTTAAATATTTATTTGTTTGCAGACTTTTTTTTAAAACTATACAACGTTTTTTTGTTTTATTTTATTGTTTTCCTTTTTTTTTCTCTAGGCCACAGTTTAGGGTACGGATTTGTTAACTATCTTAACCCTAGTGATGCAGACAGAGCTATCAGTACACTGAACGGACTAAGGCTACAGTCCAAAACTATCAAGGTAACGTGCAATAAGGTGTTCTACAATTCTCAAACCAAAGATGTCATGTCATGTAACTCCTGTGGCTCCTGTGCTGTCCGCTAACTAGCTAGAACATGTCAGTGCGAGGAAGTGATTCTGCTTTTACAGCTCACTTACTGCCCTACCCGACATGTCTGATACGTTTTGATTTTATTCGACACTTTCTGACAAATTCAATGTATTTAATTCCTTTAAAAAAATAAAATGTTTTGTTGCTGTAATGTTTTGTTATGCTTTTCATTTTTTGCTCAGAGTGAAGATACCTAAAACCGCTGCACAGATTATTGTATTTAGTTTTTCATTTTATACTAGAATATTTTTGAAAAAACCTTGAATTAGTCGATTTTTATTTAAAAAATACAGATAATTGCTGCTGTGAATCCCGAGAAATCGCTTAAATGTTAATGTTATTAGATTTGTGTATCATCGTACTTCACTCGTTTTTTTTTTTCGTGTGTAACAGTAGCGTTTTAATCTGGAAATTGTTGCTTCCTGTTGCTAGGTTTCATACGCACGGCCCAGCTCTGACACCATAAAGGATGCCAACCTGTACATCAGCGGCCTGCCGAAGGCCATGACCCAGAAGGACGTGGAGGACATGTTTTCACGCTTTGGACACATCATTAACTCCCGTGTGCTTGTGGACCAGGCCACAGGCACGACAGGTGAATAAACTCCTTACTTTTCCAACTCTTCTCAGTAACATAAAGCGCCTCGATTGGCTGTCAGTCAGAATAGACGGTCACCGCCCGCTCTCCTGTTCCCAGGCGCTTCCCGCGGGGTGGCTTTCATCCGGTTTGACAAGCGGGCGGAGGCAGAGGAAGCTGTCAAAACTCTGAATGGGCAAAAACCACCCGGAGCCGCTGAGCCAATCACAGTGAAGTTTGCCGCCAACCCGAACCAGGTGAAGAACACGCAGATCATCTCTCAGCTCTACCACAACCAGTCCCGGCGCTTCGGAGGGCCCGTGCACCACCAGGCGCAGCGCTTCAGGTGAGAGAAGTTGTTAATGTTTGCATACTCTCAGTGCATGATGGCTGCCATTGCTCTGTTTTTATATTAATGTCAGACTGAGCTGAGCAATTGATGATAGCTTAAAGGTCACCTATCAAAATCCTCTTCTCCATGTCTCTTCTACATCAACATGTGTCCCCTCTACTTCATGTCTCTTCTACATCAACATGTGTCCCCTCTTCTTCATGTCTCTTCTACATCAACATGTGTCCCCTCTTCTTCATGTCTCTTCCACATCAACATGTGTCCCCTCTTCTTCATGTCTCTTCCACATCAACATGTGTCCCCTCTTCTTCATGTCTCTTCTACATCAACATGTGTCCCCTCTTCTTCATGTCTCTTCTACATCAACATGTGTCCCCTCTTCTTCATGTCTCTTCTACATCAACATGTGTCCCCTCTTCTTCATGTCTCTTCTACATCAACATGTGTCCTCTCTTCTTCATGTCTCTTCTACATCAACATGTGTCCCCTCTTCTTCATGTCTCTTCTACATCAACATGTGTCCCCTCTGTGGAAAGAGACTCTGAAAGTTTCAGGAACAAAGATTCTCTCTCTTTTTGATCCATTTCTATAAAAACCTGTCTGAAAATGAGCTGATCAGATTTTGGCCATTTTATGATGTCATAACAATTTTTTGGCTTGTGTAACCATTAGCCAATCAGCAACCAAGGTAACCCCCCCCCCCCACCTTATCACCTGAATCTCCTCCTAGAGCACCATTGAGTTCTTTTTAACCAGATATCTCTCAGAGGGGCGTGGGGAGGGGCTCCTTATTTTCATCTGAAGTAACAGACAGAGAATCAGCACTTTGGAAACAGGGCTGAAACAGAGGGGATTATGGGTAATGCTGCAATGATCTGTTTGGGGTTTCAGCCAATCAGAGACAGGCTCTGGATATATCTGAGACCTGTAATATATTGATGAAAAACAGTATAATAGGGGACCTTTAACACTAGCAGAGACTTCAGTCAAGTCCTGTCATATAGCAGGAGAGCCCATGTTGTTTGCATAAACGGGTCATTATATAATTAAACAGTTTTATTAAGAAAAAATAGTCTCTTTGAGTTCAGAGTCATTGTTGAATCCACAAGTCCTCTAAACTCTCCTGTGTTCCAGGTTTTCTCCCATGGGCGTTGATCACATGAGCGGCGTGGGGAACGTCAATGTGCCCGGGAACTCCAACTCCGGATGGTGCATCTTCATCTACAACCTGGGCCAGGACGCCGACGAGAGCATCCTCTGGCAGATGTTCGGCCCGTTCGGCGCCGTCACCAACGTCAAGGTGATCCGAGACTTCAACACCAACAAGTGCAAGGGCTTCGGCTTCGTCACCATGTCCAACTACGAGGAGGCGGCCATGGCCATCGCCAGCCTGAACGGCTACCGGCTCGGAGACAAGATGCTGCAAGTGTCCTTTAAGACCAGCAAGGGCCACAAGTAAAGAGAGCGGGACAATCGGGTGTAGAGGAGGGATGGAGGAGACCTGCAGAGAGCAGAAGTACGCATTTTCAAAGTCTGGCACATCTGTTTGGTTTTTAGTGTATTCAGAGATGTTCACTCTTCTGCACCTTTGTACTTGTCTAAAAGAGTGTTGAGGCTTTTTGTTTCTCATCGTTTTATACTCATGCTAGAGGCTTGAGAGACACTCAGTAGTTTTAATGTTTAGTGGGGGGGTGGAGAGGGTCAAATCCCATGATTCCCCCGGATAACTTTTTGAAAATTATCTAAAAATACTGTCCGTATCTGTTGCATGTTTAACTGTGGGGACTAGATAAAGGAGGCCGGCTAATGGTTCTGAGCACTGCACAAAAAAATAAGGAAGGTCGCACAAATTGTTCTCAAAGTGTTGACATGTTTGTGGATTGAAAAAAAGAAAATGCGACGGACATTTTCTTGCCAGGGGTTGTTTTGGAAAAGCAGTGCTGTGTTCTGGATCCTCGTCATAAGTAGAGCTCGAAGCCTTAAACGATCATCCAGTGGAGACTCAGACCGACAGCACTGCTCACTGTCTCGAGTCAATCTAAGAGCAAAGCACTTTTAACTTATCTGCTTTCGGTTACTTTGAATATCAGTCCTTTTGATGTTAATCCAGGACTCTCGCTCATCCTCCAACCATTTGAAAACACGACTAACTCTGTAGGGAAATGTCTCTGTTTTTGTTATCCCCGTGTAAAGTGTCTTTTTAATATAAGTTGCATTTCAGGAGAAACCTGTTGAATATGAACCCGAGTCGATGAGTATGAGAATAAGATGGACCAAAGGCAGGGAGAGATTTGATCCTTTTACTGCAGACACACCAGTTTAAGGTAGATTTATACCTTATGTCGATGTTTGTTTGGAAAAGGTACTATGGTATATCTGACAGAGCAACATCACTTTGTCTCTATGCCGTTTTGTTTTTTTATTTTTATTCTAAAGGCAAAGTTTTCTTATCTGTGAGCAACTTGTTTTAGCCAGTGCTCATCTCAAGTTTGAAGAAAAATGAATGGCCTTTTGTTAATTATCTCATTTTTTTTATTTGCTTTCTTTTTCTTCCTTTCTTTAGTTTTGGTAGTTTCACTTTGAACATAAACCATTAAATTTTATTTCTTTTTGCCGAAAGTTTGGTTTGGTTTGTTTTCTTTTTTTAATTAACCTTTTTTTTTTTAAATATTTGGTTTGAATTTTGTTTCTATTATTTTTCTCGTACCAAATCTGCAGTGTTTGATAAAAGCTGTTACAGAAAGTGTTTCCTCTGGAGGCTTTGACACCTCCGAGACGGCCTAAAAAAACATGGACCAATGTAAGTTGCTAAAAGATATGATGTTACCTGTACACAGACACTTGAAGGAAAGTCCTAAAGACATTTCATGAAGCAACTTTGATACAAATTGCCGTTTAAACCACTGAATAATAACACAATCTGTAACTAAGCTGTCCTTTTGCATTTCAGTGAGTTCTACAAGTCAATGGGGAAATGTACATTAAGATACATTTGATTGGTTAGCTTGAGGAATAGATATCGAACGATGCACAACAGAACTAGTTTCACTTTCAATCGTCCAGTATGTGTAGTGTGCATTAGAAACACTTATATCATCCATTTAGGTAAGGTCATCTGCATATCAAAGCTCCTCTTTAAATAATGTAGATCTTGGCTTTTAGCTTGTCTTGTTCTTTAAGGATGTTCAACCGTTTCCATTGGTACTGTAATTGTGTTTGATTTCACCCCAAGGTGAACATTAGAGCCACTTGGTGACGGTTACAATACACTAAATCATTTGACCTGCTCACACATTTTAGCAGTCACCTTGAAACCGTTTTCATTAATAATTCCCCTGACACTTAATGTGTGCACAATCTGAAGAGTATTCCCATAACAAGCTTCAGATTTCACTCTTAAAGGTGCTTTTTTTTTTTTTTCAATGTCATGTTATTTTTGTGTCACAATCCTTAACTTTGTGCAATATTTCGTGACTTGCTCAAAGCACTTAATAGAAAGTTGATGTCGTCGTTTTTTTATAATTTCTTTTTTTCTACTGTTTGTTACTGCTTAGTTTTTTCAGCAGTTTTAGTTGGAATTGCATAATTCATGCAAGTACATTTGTTGTAGGGGCAGTCTGAATAAACTGCGATCCGCCTTAATTTATAAGTGGGAATGGTGTGTTTTACACCAGAGGAGGCGCACATATTTATTTGACAACGTATGTGGTCATACTTGTTACTTATTCAACTGTTTGACTGGATTTGTTTGTTTTCTTGGTTTTAAGGGCACTAAGTTGAAGTCCATTTAATGTCTTCTAACATTGGATCATTTCAATAAAAACATGGTGGCTTTTCAGAATTGAAAAAAAAGTCTGTCTAGAACCTTATTTCAAATGTGTTGGAAGTGGTTTTCTTGACCAAAGAAGTTGGACTTTAATTGTATTTCCTGTTTCACATCAGCATGCCCCTCATAGTTACCTTCTGAGACCAGATGGGGGAGACATGCCTCTACTTCAACCGACTCTACCATCAACACTGAGTACACATTCTGCAGCATTTCACAAGGTGTCATAGCTGCTTTCTCCTCACCTCATAAGAACACAACTTAACACATTGGTTTGAAAGAAAGTGGAGAATGAAATGGTTTTGTACTTCCGGTTTTATTAAAAAAACAACAGAAAATTAAAAGCATTGGTATAAAAAAACACTTGATCTCACTAGGTTGATGTACATATTGTTTTACATTAATGTTGCTTTCAAATCTATCAATACCATGTCTAACATAAAGGTTCACTTCAATGATAAACATTTGCTCAGTTTTTGTTTACTTTCAAGTCTTTCGAGCTCTCAGAATTATTGTCAAAACTGAGATCATGTTAAGGCAACTTACAACCTTGATCAAACTTCATTAGGACAGGCCTACCGTGAATGTCTAACTGTTACTGACACTAATACCCATTAAATGTATGTTGCCACCCAATATCCTGCCTACTGGTGCGTTAGGAGTGGTTACGTTTAAACATGACTTCATACATTTCCTCCGTTTCAAAACTGAATGGAAAACACTATATCAAGTATTAAAGGTTTTTTTTGTTTTCGGCATGGCACAGGCAAAATCCATTAAAGCCGCTAAACCCTGACACCTCATTACTCAAACGTTGGTTTCATTCAGAAGAGAAACCGACCAGGATGTTGATAGTTCCTTTGATCCAAAGAGGTGAACTTGTGCTTCAGAAGGCAGTATCCCTGGCTGTGCGTGCAGTGAACGTGTGTCAGACGTGGTAGAGGTTGTGGCAGGCCACCGGTCTCTCCAGCACCATCTCGCCCTCCACATCGTACACGTAGTCGCAGCGGTGTGAGAGCAGAGGAGCGTCAGACATCGCCATGCTCTGATTACCAAAGGAGATTATCGTGTCTCTCTGAGGAGAAAAAGTCACACACAATACAGTTAGTTAACATGGTGGACGAAGACATTTTGAAATACATATACATGAAAAAAGGTATATTGACTAAATCAGTTTAAAATGAAAAAGCCAACCACACACAAAGTCCTGATAAGCTCAGTGTGCAGACATTGTATGTTTCCTACAGGTGTCCATCTAGGACAGGGGGTCTAAACCTTTTTCACCGAGGGCCACATACAGAAAAATATATAACTATGCTGCTGCAACGCAAACATTTCCCAAATTGGGATCAATAAAGTACTTCTTATCTTCAAGTTGTCAGAGGTTTAAAATCTTCACAAGCACTTGTTTTAACCTAAACTAATGTAAGTGTTCCTCTCACCCGGATGGAGCCGCCTCCATTGCTGGGATTAGGAGTGGGATCAGGGACAGCAACAATACTAGCTGCTCTCTCAAAATCCTTCTTACATAAATGACACATAATCCCCGCAGCTAAGGCATCGCCGAGAACATTGATCATCGTCCTGAACCGATCACTGAGAAGGAGAGACAACAACAGTTTGCACATCGTCCCAAAATCATCATAATAATAATACACTTTATTTGTATAGCACCTGTCATGCACAAATCAGCCCAAAGTGCTTTACAGAACACATAACAACAATATTAAAATAATATTAAAATGAATAAAGAACAAGATAAAACATATACAGTGATCCCCGTGAATTAAAGCTGACAAGAAATTAAAATAGGTTAAAATAAAAGCAATACAGTAAAACATGGACAATGATACTAGTGACAATTGAAAGTTAACCCACATTTAAAGCTAATTAAAAAGATATGTTTTTAATTAGCTTTTAAACATTTCAAGAGAGTTTGCTGTTCCACTAAGAACATCTACTTTAAGACCCGGTAGTGCTCTGTTCATATTCAGTTTGCATTCGTACTCACAGGACCCAATCAATGGCCACGATCAGCGAGATGTCGGCAGGCGGCAACCCCACAGAGGTCAAGACAATCACCATGGTAACCAGACCGGCTTGAGGTATCCCAGCCGCACCGATACTGGCTGCTGTTGCCGTGATACTGAAGAGACAACAGTAGTGTGTAAAGTAAATTCACTCAACTTTATTTGTACTTGTACTTTACTTGAGTATTTCCATGTATTATTACTTTAAAACTTCTTCTCCACTACAATTCAGAGGTGAATATTATTCCTTTTACTCCTCTACATTTATTTTAACACTCAGTTACTTTGTGCATTTAAAAACATGCTGATGTGGTATAATGCAATACTGCACTACTTATCTACGCAATATTTCTAGTATCTAAATGTAGTCCACATTGACAAACTACACTGCTAAAATGCACTTACATGTAGGAAAGCAATGCTAATATGATAACCATAGTAATATAATACTGTGAAAATATCCATTCTGCATAATGAGTTATTTTACTTTTGATATTTGAAGTACATTTAGCTTATCATTATGCTGTACTCTGTACTTTATATCATTCTCAAATGGGCCTTTGTGCAGAATGAGTACTTTTTGATACTTTTGTTCTTTTACTTAAGTAACATTTTGAAATCAGTTTTAGTGGAGTATTTTGAGACCATGGTATTTGTACTTTAGTAAAGCATCTGAGTACTTCTTCCAGCACTGTGTGTAAGGGATTCAAATCTAATTAGTTCTCGACACAACCGATGGGAGGATAATGAGCTCAGTGCTTCTTCTCACCTAATAGTGACCAGCTGGCCAAAGTCCAAGTCATACTCATTGACCTGAGCGATAAAGATGGCCGCCACTGCCTCGTACAGCGCCGTCCCGTCCATGTTGATGGTGGCTCCCACCGGCAGCACGAAGCGAGCGATCTGCCGGTCCACGCCACAGTTCTCCAGGAGACACTTCATGGTGATGGGCAATGTGGCAGAGCTGCAGAGAATCACAAACATACCATATGATACCATACGATGTACTTTATTGTCCCCGAAGGACATTTGTTCTGGACTCCATCCTGCTGTTCCGCGTACATGTACATATACACGTATAATAAACATTAAAATACATGCACATATCATCACTCATCACAAACACAATACACAGACGCACATACTGACAATGGCGACCTATTGCACAACCCTCATGGCTAACATTTAAAGGTCGCCTATTATGCAATATCCACTTTTTCATGTCTCTTCTACATCAACATGTGTCCCCTCTTCTTCATGTCTCTTCTACATCAACATGTGTCCCCTCTTCTTCATGTCTCTTCTACATCAACATGTGTCCCCTCTTCTTCATGTCTCTTCTACATCAACATGTGTCCCCTCTTCTTCATGTCTCTTCTACATCAACATGTGTCCCCTCTTCTTCATGTCTCTTCTACATCAACATGTGTCCCCTCTTCTTCATGTCTCTTCTACATCAACATGTGTCCCCTCTTCTTCATGTCTCTTCTACATCAACATGTGTCCCCTCTTCTTCATGTCTCTTCTACATCAACATGTGTCCCCTCTGTGGAAAGAGACTCTGAAAGTTTCAGGAACAAAGATTCTCTCTCTTTTTGTCCTGATCCATTTCTATAGAAACCTGTCTGAAAATGAGCTGATCAGATTTTGGCCACTTTGTGATGTCATAATGTTTTTTGGGCTAATGTATCACCTTATCTCCTCCTAGAGCACCATTGTGTTCTTTGTAACCAAATCTCTCTCAGAGGGGCGTGGGGAGGGGCTCCTTATTTTCATCTAAAGTAACAGACAGAGAATCAGCACTTTGGAAACAGGGCTGAAACAGAGGGGGTTATGGGTAATGCTGCAATGATCTGTTTGGTGTTTGGAGCCAAACACTTCAGAGACATGTTTGTATCTGAGAGCTATAATATATTGATGAAAAACAGTTTAATAGGGGATCTTTAATGGACATAGGCAGGAATGAGTGCTTATAGTGGTTCAGCTTTGGGAACCCTGAATCTTCCACCAAACGGTAGGAGCTGGAATTCTGGGTGGAGTTTGTGAGTGGGATCAGACTTTTTTTTTTGTGCCTGTCTAATAATGGACTGCTGATATATGTTTTGGAGAGATGGATGTTTTTTTACCCCCATAATAGTACCAGGGAAGCAATCTGTGACTTAGTGAAGTTACCATATGAGCAACCAGAACCAACCTGATCTCACCAGAATGCGTGACTCCACCACGACTCCTTAACACCGCATTGCGTGGTAGAGTCACGCATTCTGCTACATTTACGTGTCGGCACCACGCAAAAAACCCCAATGTAAAGTGAATGAGGCTCTTTTGTCGTGGTGCACACACGCATTCTACAACGTCCCGCAGTGAGCTTTTATTCTATAAAACGTTTTTAAAATCTACTATATAGCTTGTAGTAACTCACGGGAGACTTCTTTTATTTTATTTGTATTCATAATCATTTTTATTTTTCGTCAGAATGTAAAAATTATATTAGTTACGAATTTTTGTTTTCAAAAAACAGTGTGTGTAATACAACTGTGATTTTTATTAAATTAGTTAGTTTTTAAGGGAGGCCAGAGCTTCAGCTGTGTCAAATAGATTGTTCCGTTTAGTTAACGTTATTTAAAAGATAATGATCATGTCCCCTTTATTGTATTACGAGCGTCCATTCCCATTGGATAACGGAGAATTTTACACCCGGAAGTAAGTATTCTCCTTACTGTCGATTGATTTTACAGTGATATCTGAACTACTCATCAACTCAAAAACACCAAATTATCCTTGTTAATTACACAACATTGATTGGTTTAAATTGTGTACAATGCTTTTGTATTTTTCCCCTTCGATTCGGAGAAATTAATATTTTTTCGGAGTTTTTGGATGGCAGAAGACACTACACTACCCAGAATCCTCAGCTATCGTTTGGGACTACACCATGTGCTTAGCTTGACAAACCCCGTGATCAGTCCTCAAGCTCTGTGATTGGATGTTGGAGTGGCAGTGCGCGAATTTT